ACCCATTGTCTTTTCTGCATGGCAGACAGGCAGGCAGGCAGGCAGGCAGGCAGGCAAGCAGATAGACAGGCAGGCCTCAATCTAAATATTGCACGCATGGCATGTCAGGGCAGGTTATTGAGGAAAGGGTGTTAAAAAGGGCAACTTAATTTAAATGCAGGTCAGGTTATTGAGGAGACGGTGTTGGAAGGACTTTGAAAAGGATTGGAGCCCAGCTATTGCAAGTGGCATGGAACGGTGGAAAAATATCATCCTGGGGAGATGATCCGATATGGCATAGGACATCAATGTCAGGTCAAAACGAAAGTTGCGAATGGCTTCGCCCGGACTTGAACCGGAGACCTTCAGTGTGTTAGACTGACGTGATAACCAACTACACCACGAAACCGATGATTACAGTATTGAGCTCTTTTTGCAATTCACTTCCTCTCTTCCCCCTACCTCCCCTTTGGAACCCCTCACTACCCACCCACTGCACTCCCTACCCTACCATGCCCCTCACCACACACCGCCTCGCACCATGCCTCGCACCATGCCTCTCACCATGCCTCTCACCATGCCTCTCACCATGCCTCTCACCATGCCTCTCACTGTGCCTCTCACCATGCCTCTCACCCCGCACTGCCTCTCACCATGCACTTCCTCTCACCCCGCACTGCCTCTCACCATGCCTCTCACCCCGCACTGCCTCTCACCACAGGGTGGACAGGTAGGCGCTAGAGGTGGCGGCATTGGCAGAGCTGCAAGTGCTGCTCCCTGGAGTGGACACGTGTGTGGACCTCATTGGCCCTGCCATTCCACCTCACATATGAGGGCCTTTGGACGCTGTGTGGAGAGTGATTTGCATGCCTCACGCTTCATGTGTGAGCGCCAGTGCTTCCTGCAATCCGCAAGTGCCTTCACCTCATTGCCCCAGGATTTTGCCGGCCACGTGTAGGACCTACCTCTGAGCGTCAATCGAGTGACGAGTCAAAGCATTCAGGGCGTGTTGCCTTGAGGGAAGTGCCTTGACGGGAGTGCCTTGACGGGAGACACGTGTTGGATGTGTGACCGGCCTTTTCTCTTGCTCCATCCACGTCCCAGTCACTGCAGTCTTACTCCCTACATGCACCTGTATGCCCTGCATGCTTGCTCTGTGCTATCCATCCCCTTGCCTTAACTCCTCATCCCCGCTGCCCCCACACCGCACCTCCTCTGTAGGCACGGCAAGCGAATTCTCCTTCAGCATCCCCCAGTCTTTAAGCCCTGCGAGCCACACCCTGCGGAACCACAACCTGCCGAACCACAACCTGCCGAACCACAACCTACCGAGCCACCACCAGCAGCAGCAGCAGGCAGTGCAGCAGGCGTGGCAGTGCACTTCCACCGAGGCCTCTACCACCCTTGCACTGCTGCCCTCCCTTGCCTGCTCGCCACCCGCCACCCCCTCCCACAGCTACTGCAGTGTGCCCCTGCACTTCACTGCACCACTCACAGCACGCATCTCCCCTCCGTCACAGCGACCAGCCCCAGCAGCCGTCCAATCTCCACCAGTCATCCCATCTGCAGCACCCGCCCTGCCACCCGCCCTGCCACCCGCCCTGCCACCCGCCCTGCCACCCGCCCTGCCACTCGTCCTGCCAACATCAGCAGCACGCATCTACCCTCAACCACAGCGACCAGCCCCAGCAGCCATCCAATCCCCACTTGTCATCCCATCCGCATCACCGGTCCTGCCACTGCTCCGCGCTGCTGTTCCTACCCAACGCGGGCCTGCCTTGCCTTCAGCTTCTGGCGAGACACGCTGGTGCATAGGAGCAGAAGAGGGAGGGAGTGGGGCTTGTTGGGTGGGATGCACGTTTAGTTGTGGAAGGAGGTCAAGGGGGTGAGGCAGGCACGTGAATACATCGAGTGTCACCACCATCGTGCATGGCCACCAACTCCACCCCCTCACGCCATGCCTGCAAGTCGGCAATGGACTGTTTGATAAGGTAACCGGTGCTTGCACCCCCAGTCATCACACCATCCTGCTGCCGTGACCCTCTGCCTCCCACCGCATCCTCATGCTGCAGCATGCAATGCACAGCACTGGTCACGGACTACAGCCACGAGGCAGCACAGCGAGCAAGGGATGCACTAGAGTGGCCTCAAGCACCGTGGTGCCGCACTAGGCGCAGCATGAGGACCTGGTACCACTTCCCCTACCAGGTCCTCATGCTGCGCCAGAAGCTCTCAGTGCTCGTCATGGACTACAGCCACGAGGCAGCAGAGTGAGATTGGGGTAGAGGGAGGCGCCACAAGGCATGGCTGGGGGCTGCACCACCCACTCCATCATCGCGCTGCCTGCCTCGTCTTCTCTCTCTGCCTCCCACCAGGTCCTCAGGCTGCGCACTAGGCTGCGGTTCAGTCACGAGGCAGCACAGCGACCCAGGGAGGCAGGGAGGCGCCGCAAGGCATAAGGAACAGGGGGTTTGCGCCACCCGCGCTCCTCTGCTCCACCTCGTGCTGCCCCCCAGGCCAGCCCCCTCTGCCTGCCCTTTGTCTGCCCCCTGCCAGGTCCTCATGCTGCGTAGTGGGCTGCCAGCATTAATCACGGACCACAGCCACGAGGCAGCAGAGAGAGTCAGGGAGGCGCTCTGCTTATTGACTGCTGGGGTGGAAAGGTGCAGGGAGGGAGGGGCGGCGCGAGGGGGCGGCGAAGGGGAGGCCGCAGCGGGCGCGGTATTGCAACCTGTCATCAGCGAGGTGGGGGGGCTTCACGGAGAGGGGACCAGAAGGAGAACAGTGAGCCAAGTTTATGGGGTTTCCACTAATTTCCCAACCCCCTTGGTGGCCAAACTATGGAGCCAAGGTTGGTATCGCAGCCCCAGGTAGTATTTCCAAACCCTAAACCCTATGGTTAATCAAAATTCTCTTATGTACCCTTAGTTTGTGATGTGAGCCCCAATTTTTTTTTTCCCCACCTATTGCAATACTGAGTTTGCAATACTGCAAGGCATATGTCCCGTGTCTGACAGCTGGTGGTTGTGAAGATCGTGAGGATGGTTTGACTAGGAGAAAGAGAGATACAAGTAGAAAACCTATACTCTCTAGAGTCTAACCCACTACAGCCTAAATAATCAATGTTATATAAGTTTGACACACCCCCATAGGCAAAGTGGGGAAGACCTAAAGGCCACAAGACCAGTCAAGCAAAGCAAGCTCAGAGTGGATCACAACGTCACCACAAAATCTGAGCACAAGGTCAAGGCCACAAGGCCAGTTCACATGCAGGATAATATATAAAGGCAAACAAGCAAGAGCAGGTATATAGAAAACACAGTACAAGCAAGGTCAAGAAGTGAGCAAGTGAGGCCAAGTTGACACAAGACCTAGCATCGTACAGAAGCGCTGATGATCACAAGGCGGAAGTGCCTTGGTGAAGATGTCAGCAGTGTTGGCCCGAGTGGCCACGTAAGCAAGGCGCAGCTGACCACGCTGCTGCAGCTCACGAGCAAGGAAGTAGCGGAGAGCAATGTGCTTCGTTCTGTGCTCCAGTCTCTGCTCCCGACACAAGGCTAGCATGGCCTTGTTGTCTACGTACAGAACTGGAGGAGAACGAGGCGGCTCTCCCAGATCAGTCAGCAGGTAGGTGAGCCAGCGCAACTCCTGTGCAGCCATGGCTCCTGCGTAGATCTCAGCCTCACAGCTAGAGCTGAGAACAGACGACGAGCGAGTAGACCGCCACGAAACAGAGCCGGAACCAAGGCTGAAGGTGTAACCCTGTGACGACCGCTGCGTAGCCAGGTCGTCAACCCAAGACGCGTCTGCGTGACCAGTGAGGACCACTGGACTCTGCCCTCCAAGCACTAGCCCCATGCCCGACGTACTGCACAAGTAGCGCAACACCCTCTTCGCTGCAGCCATGTGCTCTGGTCGGTGTCTCCCAGGAGCAACATAGCGTGCCAAGATGCTAAGAGGGTATGCAAGGTCAGGTCGCGTGCAGGTCATCAGGTACATGAGGCAGCCTACAAGCTCTGGGTACGGGCCACTCGGCTCTACGGACTCATCCGAAGGCAGAGCTGAGAGCGAGTGGCGAGTAGACAGAGGAGTGGCCTGAGGCGAGGAGTACGTGAAGTCGAAGCGCTGAAGGACCTGCTGCACCATGTGTGACTGAGACAGTGTAATGGTGCGCCGTGCTCTGTCCCGGGTGATCTGCAAGCCGAGGTAGCTGCGCAGTTCACCCAGGTCTGTGCACGTGTGTCGCTTCTGCAGCTCCGACTTCACGTGGGCAAGTACGGTAGTGTCAGCTGTAGCGAAGGCCAAGTCGTCGACGTACACGAGGATGTAGAACGGCGGCAAAGAGGTGTCGGTGCGCAGAAACAGCGACGGGTCGGCAGTAGAAGGAGCAAACCCAAGAGCCGCAAGCGTAGTCCTCAGTGTGTCGTGCCACTCACGAGGCGTCTGGCGGAGACCGTAGACTGGCCGTCGGAGGCTCCACTGGGTGCCAGGAGGAAACGTCCCAGTGAAGCCCGGTGGGCGGCGCAGCCAGATCTCCTCGTGCAGGCTGCCCTGCAGGAAAACTGTGCTGAAGTCAAGAGAGTGAAGCTCGTAGTCACGGTGAGCGGCTATGTGTAGCAGCACCCGAAGAGTGGTCATGTGGGGGAACCTCGTCGACGTAGGTGCCTGTGGACTTCCAGGAAGCCATCTCTGCGTCCATGGCTGCCTGCCACTGAGAGGAGTAGGGACCCTCTATCGCCTCCGCGTAAGAGCGCGGAGTCGGGATGTCTAATGCATCCGGGTCTCCCTCAGGGGCAAGCAGTGAGGACACAAGATGAGGTAAAGCAGCAGCAAGACACTGGAACTCCTCCTGCCTGTCCTCAAGGACGTCCGTGCTAAGAGCACACTCACCCCCGACGGACGGAGGACAGACAGACTCAGACTCAGCAACAAGACTAGCGGCGTAGTCTAGACGACAGGCAGCAGCAAAGTCAACAAGCTCAGCGACCAAGGCAGACGCAGCAGCAGACTCAAACGACGAGTCAGTGACAATACTGACCAGTATTACCAGAACCAGCGTCACCAGCAGCAGCACCCCCAGAACCGGCACCTGCAGTCCCAGGGTCTCCAACCGCAGCGTCTCCCGCAGCAGCACCCCCAGAACCAGCACCTCCGGTCCCAGGGTCTCCAACCGCAGTGTCTCCCGCAGCAGCACCCCCAGAACCAGCACCTCCAGTCCCAGGGTCTCCAACCGCAGCGTCTCCCGCAGCAGCACCCCCAGAACCAGCACCTCCAGTCCCAGGGTCGCCAGCCTCAGTGTCTCCAGCAACGGCACCTCCAGGCGCAGCACCCCCAGCCCCAGTATCGCCAGTACCTCCAGCAGCAGAGCCCCGGGCTCCAGCAGCGCGACGCTGACGGCGACCGTACCAGTCGTGCAGCTGCTGAGAGGTGAGAGGCGTACGCGGACGAAGGCGGCCACTCCAAGTAGGCCGTGCACCAGCAGTCCCAGTACCCTCAAGCGTCTCACCTCCAGACTCAGTACCTCCAGACTCCGCACACACAGGCTCAGTACCCCCAGACACAGCACCCCCAGGCGCAGGACCCCCAGTCACCCCACGCGCAGGCTCAGCACCCCCAGACTCCGCACCCCCAGACGCAACACCTCCAGGAGCACCACCCCCAGCAGCACCAGAGTCGACAGCAACCGGCTGCAGAGGCGGCGAAGAAGGTCGCGGAGGTGGGGGCTCTGGTGGCGGCGGTGGAGGCGGAGGCAGCGGCAGCGGCGGCGGTGGGAGTGGAGGAGGTGGCGGTGGCGGCGGTGGCAGCAGAGGCGGCAGTGGCGGTGGTGGCGGTGGCGCTGGTCGGGGTGGCTCCGTGCAGACGGGTGGCTCTGGTGGTGGACAGCGTCAGCAGCAGCAGCGCTCTCGTCAGGCCCCGCCGCCCCAGCAGCTTCACCAGTGGTACGCTGGGCGTCAGCGGCCTGGGGGTGCTGGTCCCTGTACCTACGTCCTACGTACTGGTGACCGCACTGGTGAGCCGTGTGGCGGCCCGCACACCACCCAGCGCTGCTTCGGCCGCCTGACAGACGCCTGGCGTATCCGGTTCCCTGACGCCACTGAGCTCCCGCACTGGCATGAGCTACTTAGGTCGGAGGTTCTTGATTATGATGCTATCCTTGCTGCCATGTATGTTATGTCTACTAGTGATGACGGTGACTGTTACCTGAGTGTTCCGCCCGACCCGGGCGGTGCAGCTGCTGCTCTAGGTGCCACTGAGTCTGCTGCTCCAGGTGCTAGCGAGTCTGCTGCTCCAGGTGCTAGTGAGTCTGCTGCCCCAGGTGCTGGTGAGTCTGCTCTCTCAGGTACCACGTCTGCTCAGGCGTCGCACACTTTCACCCTTGACTCGGGTGCTTCCCGCTCCTTCTTTCGAGACCGCACCACTCTCACGCCGCTCAGTCGGCCGGTTGCGGTCTCCCTGGCAGACCCCTCTGGGGGTCCTGTTCTTGCCCACTACTCCACTGTTCTACCGTGTCCAGCGGTCCCGTCTGGCTCCCTGTCGGGTCTCTACCTCCCCTCGTTCTCTACGAACTTGGTGGCGGGTGCTGACCTACAGGATGGGGGGGTTGACCAGTTCACCCCTGCGCGTCAGCGGGTGACCCACTGCACGTGTGCGGACACGGGCCGACACTTGGCCACGTTTACTCGTCGGCCGGGGTCGAGCCTGTACACCCTGACTACCGAGTCTTCTCCGATAGCTGTGCCTGGTCAGGTAGCTGCGTCGGGTCAGGTGTTTGCTGCAGCGTCTCGGTCTGGTCCTGAGTCTGCCCCCTGCTCGTGTCGCCTTCTGTCCTACGAGACTCTTCTCTGGCACCACCGTCTTGGTCACCCCTCCCTGCCTCGTCTCCGAGGCATGGCCTCTCGTGTCCTGGTCTCTGGTCTCCCCCGGTCTCTCCCTCCCCTCCCTCCGGGACCCGCCCCTACCTGCGTTCCCTGCGTCGAGGGGCGGCAGCGCGCCGCTTCTCACTCCTCCGAGTTTCCGCCGACAGAGGCTCCGCTGCAGACTCTTCACATGGACGTGTGGGGCCCAGCCCGCGTCCGTGGACAGGGTCACGAGCGCTACTTCCTGCTGGTGGTTGACGACTACTCGCGTTACACCACAGTCTTCCCCTTGCGCCGCAAGGATGAGGTCACTGAGGTGTTGATCGACTGGATCCGCGCTGCTCGTCTCCAGCTCAGGAAGAGTTTCGGCTCGGACTTTCCTGTCTTGCGTCTGCACTCTGACAGAGGTGGAGAGTTTTCCTCCGGCCCTCTGCGAGCCTTCTGTCGTGCGAGAGGCATCTGCCAGATGTTCACGCTTCCGGCCTCTCCACAGCAAAATGGGATTGCTGAGCGCCGCATTGGCATGGTCATGGATGTCGCTCGCACGTCCATGATCCATGCGGCTGCTCCCCATTTTCTGTGGCCGTTTGCGGTTCAGTACGCGGCGCGTCAGATCAACCTTCAGCCCCGGGTCTCCATGCCGGACACCTCCCCCACTCTGAGGTGGACGGGGCAGGTTGGCGATGCGTCTGCGTTTCGTGTCTGGGGATCTCGGGCTTTTGTCCGAGACTTGTCTACGGACAAGCTGTCCTCCCGTGCTGTTCCCTGCGTCTTCCTTGGCTTCCCCCCTGATGCGCCTGGTTGGCAGTTTTACCACCCCACCTCGCGCCGTGTTCTCTCCTCCCAGGACGTCACGTTTGACGAGTCGGTTCCGTACTACCGTCTCTTCCCCTACCGCGCTGCCCCCCTTCCCCCCCCCGCCGCTCTTCCTTACGCCAGGTCCCCCCTAATCCCTAAACCCTAAACCCGACGGGCCTTAACGGGGCAGGCCTCTAAGGGGGGCGCGAAACTTCCGGGCAGGGCGCAAAGCGCGCCTCGGGCAGCTAAAAAAAAATTCAGAAGGTGGGCCCTTGGTAGGAAACCATGCTCTATACTATGTGAAGATCGAGAGGATGGTTTGAGTAGGAGAAAGAGAGATACAAGTAGAAAACCTATACTCTCTAGAGTCTAACCCACTACAGCCTAAATAATCAATGTTATATAAGTTTGACAGTGGTTTCCACGAAGCTCCTTCCATTTAGCCACACTTTCTATCATTTTCGCCCTTCTCCCCTGCCACATACTATACACCCACTGTTGTGCTCACATTCCAACAGTTGGTGCCACCATTTCCCACTTTCACAACTTTCCCACTTTCATAACTTTTCCACTTTCATAACTTTTCCACTTTCATAACTTTTCCACTTTCACAACTTTCCCACTTTCATAACTTTTCCACTTTCACAACTTCTCCACTTTCACAACTTTTCCATTTTCACAACTTTTCCACTTTCACAACTTTTCTCACCAAACCTCACATTCTATATCACACGTTTTCTCTTCTCCCATTGAAATCTCACTTTCTCCCTCTTTAATTGCCGCGACCCCTCCACCCAGGCCCTCAGATTCGTTTTTGGCCTGTCTGATTCATCAGACTAGTACTCAATTTTAGTCTGAACCCCTCAGAGTTGGTATAAAAAAGGCTGAAATTTCAGAGTGCCTTAATAAAAAAGTCTGAAACATCAATGTATCTAATGTTTCAGCAGAAATGTATTCAATGCTTCATCTAATACTGAAACATGCTAGACTAAGGGGATTTTCGGGAGAACATGCCCCGACAGGGCGAATTTCTGTGTCAGGGCGAATCTTGTGGTGTGAAAGGGCGAATCTGCAATGTCAGGTGGAAGTTCTTGGTGATTGGTCGAAATCATTGTTCTCGGACAGCGCAAATCTGTTGTGTCAGGGCGATTTTGCTGTGATTGGGCAAAAATTTTGTGCTGTAAGGCGCGGATTTGCAGTTTCAAGCCGATTTTGCATTGACCTGTAAAGTCCGAACCGAATCACCAGTCAAGAATACAAGCAGACAACGGAGTAGGTGCGCGTTTGTACTCGGAGTGATCAGAGTACACTCCAGGGAAACTCTGAAACGTCAGAGTTAGCTCTAAAATTTCTCTGAAAATTACAGAGTTGGGGCCCAAAAATCTCTTATTTTAACAGACCTCACTTTAAAAAAATTCTGAATTCTCAGAGTTTTTCATGCAAATCAGAGAAATTTCTCTGACTTCTGGGGGCCTGCCTCCACCGTTAGATTGTCATTCCAGCTTTTACTTAAACCCTCACACTAGTCAAACCCTGGCAGAATGACCTTCAGAGTGGCACCTTTTACAGGTCGGTTATTTTTGCCCTCGCCTTCACAGTGCTTTTCTTCTGAGACGTAAGCCCTGCTCGCCACCTCTTCTGTTGCCCCTCTGTAATCCTCACAGTGCACCCCTCCCCTCTCCCCGTGCTCCACTCTCCTGGCAGGTGCTCCTGCAACCCTTCTGCATGCCCTTCGTCCATCCCATGGCCAGCCTCGCCCTGCCCTCCCTGCCCGATCGCTTCTACTTCACTCTCTCCTTCCCCACCGCACCCACTGGTGCTGCTGATGCAACTACTGAGATGAGTGCATGAGCACTCGCATGCTCAGTGCTGCCCAACTCCTACTTCACTCTCACCTTCCCCACTACACCTTCAGCACCTCACCCACTTTTGTTGATGCTGATGCTTGCGCTGCGCAGCGCAACTTAGCGCTGCCCTCCCTGCCCAACTGCTTCTACTTCACTCTCGCCTTCCCCACCGCACCTTCTCGTGTTGATGCGCATGCTACGGTACAGAGAATGCATGAGCAGTTGCCATGTGTGGACGCCTGGTTGCTTAGTGCTGCCCTCCCTGCTCAACTGCTTCTGAATCACTCTCACTTTCCGTACCTTGCCTGCTAGTGCCTGTGCTAATTATGATGCATGCACGGCAGAGATGAGTCCATGAGACATGCCTCTAGTGTACAGCACACACGTGCTGTCCCTGTCTGCAGCACCTCTGTGTGCAACGCCAAGTATCCCCCATGGTTGTTGCGCTAAGGAGACGATTTATCTACAAGTGGTCAGCTTAGGTGACAGGAATTAATGTTTGTGGTATCGTCCATGACTGCAAAATGCACTAGCTAATTCTGGTGAAGGCTAACACGCTACTGCTGAGTCAAATCTATGGTGCTGACAGGGAGGAAAGGCCACAACAGTACACTATGTATATACATTCCTGCTGCCCACTGCTGCCTCGCACCAATGTAGCTGGTTAAGGTTAGCCAACAACAGCAAGAGGCTGAAGAAAGAAGCCTGACAAACCTGTCCCCAGTGAGCCTGCCTGCTCGGCCAGACGAAGACATAACTCAGCTACTATATGCTGCTTGCATGAAGACTTTCTCTTCTCCAAGGTAAGGCAGCAAAGAGGATGAAATCTTGCGGCCTCAATTCAGCCATGCACGTTTTAGCATGCAGCCAAATCCCCCATCTCCTCCTCACGATGCCACCCAACTTTATTCCCTTCACTTCCACAAGCACACAGTGCTCCCCTCAATCCCTTTCTCCCCCCCAGACTCACGACCAGCCCCACCAACCATCACAATCGCCACCACTGCTGCAAGCCGTCTGAAACGGTCGGAAAAGGAGTGACCATCCATGCACTAAAGTGTCTCTGCTACCCCCACCCCCCCCTTAGAACTGCTTCTTGGGCCGCTGGGAGCGCCGCGGGCGCAGGTTGATCCCACTCGGATGAGGCGACGCCTCCCCCACCACTGTAGCTGCTGCCACGTCATCCACTTGGTCTGCTGCCAAGTCATCAAACCCAGCAGCAGCAGCAGCATCGATGCAGCTGCCCTTCTGGTCACGCGCAACACCAGCTGGCGGCATTGCAGACGGAGGCAGCATGGAAGGTGGTGGTGGAGGTGGTGCTGCCTGCCTTGTTAGGCTGTTGGAGGGGCTCAAAGCTCGGCCCAGCCCAGCAAGTCCTGCTGCCAGCTGCTTACTCCCCCACCACCCACTGCCCCCACCTCGCCCAGAACCAGCATTGCCGCCACTGCCTGCACTGCCAGCAGTGACAGCTGCGGCAGCAGCTGCACGCTCATCTGTTGCTGCTCCCGTGCTGAACTCCCTCTCTGCATCCACCATCTCGAACTCGCTGCTCGCCCCACTCTTACCACTTGCCCCGTCGCTCTCCCCACCGTCCCCATCCGAATCCGAGTCAACATTCCTGTACCGCACTGCCTGCCTCTGCACTCCCTGCCTCTGTGCGCTCCCTTGCTGCAACCTCTGCTCCTCCACCTCTGCTCTCCGCCCATCATAGGGTGTGCCCTCTGTCTCCTCCCCCTGCAGTCGCCTCTCATACCCCCCCTTCTGCACTCCCCTGTCACCCACTACCGACCTCAGCTGCACTGCTTCCCCTCCGTACTGCTGCAGGTACTTCCTCCTCCCCCTCACCTCCTCCTGCTGCTCCCCCTCCCCCTTCCTCAACCCTGCTCCATCCGCCCTCTCACTCCTCAGGACCTCAATTTCTCTCCTCCTCCTCTCCCTTTCCTCCCGTCTTTCACTCCCCTCCAGCCCGCGCATCGCTGCTGACGCAGCAGCCTGTGCTGACAGGGACGCCAGGTAAGCGATGAGCTCCTCGAATCGAGCACCAGTGTATGCCACGCCAGCACGCCAGCACTGCACAGCCACGTCTCTTCCCCGCTCTTCCAAGTTTGCCAGGTGGCGGTCAATGATTGGCTCGTGGCGAGACAACAGAGGTTGCAACATGGACCCATACACAATCTCTGTGCCCTGAGAGAGGGCGGGCCGAGGCACGGAGGTGGGGGGCGCAGGAGGGCGAGAGGACAGTGTGAGCATAAGGGGAAGGGGGGCATGGTGCGGGGAGACAAGAAAGCAGAGTGAGGAGAAAGAGCATGGCCGAGGTTTCAAGCATGAACAAGCGAAGCAGCAGCAGGGAGACAGAGGTGAAACCAAAACCACGGCAAAGATCTCTGTCCCACAGCCACTGACCAGCGTGCGGGGGTGCCAGAGGTATACGATGAAGGCGAGCTTGGCCTCGTGGTACAGCGGTACCCTGGTGGGGGGATGCACACAGGAGGACAACACGGCACGGCAGCACGTTAGGGTTCGAGTCACATGTAAAACAGTCACATGCGTCACTGTCGCATGCCCCCGTGTCACATGCGTCAGTGTCACATGCCCTAGACACATGCGTCAGTGTCACATGCCCTAGACACATGCGTCACTGTCACATGCCCTAGACACATGCGTCACTGTCACATGCGTCACTGCTGCTCACTCCACTAGCACATGGTCATTCCCAAAGAACACTTATCGGCGCAATGACCTGGGACGGATATTGCAGCCACCATGAAACGGCGAGAGGGGTGACGCGATGAGGGGGTTCAAAGCGGCGCGAGGACTCACCAGTCCAGCAGCGGCGAGGCGAGGCCCTCGAGAAGCGCCAGCAGCGACAGTAGCACCCTGCGGTGGGGAGGGGCGATGGGAAGGGGCGGTGAGTAGGGGCACGCGAATGGAATACAAGATGACGGCAGGACAGACATGGAATAATGGGGAGGTGAAGGCGTCACTCAGAATGGAACTAACATGGCGAAGCTAACATGGCGAGTTTGAGGAAACTACGCGTGCAGACACACCAACATTTGCCAGTGGGGAAGGATGGAGCAGGCGGGGAAGGGACGTGGGGATGGACGGGTGGGGAGGACAGGGGGGACAGAGGAAGCGAGGGCGCAGCGCACGAGGAGAAGGCGCGGCGCAGCACGAGGGGAAGGGGCGGTGAAGCACGAGGGGAAGGCGCGGCGCAGCACGAGGGGGAGGCGGATTGGCGCACGGACCAGAACTGGCAGAAGAAGAGGAGCTCGTGCAGGTCGGGTCGCCGTCGCTGCATGGCCTTGAAGCAGCGGTACGCCGGATACCCGTGAGCCGCCACCATGCTGCGAGGGACAAGCGAGGGTGAAGAGAAGAATCATAGAGAGGCGGAAAAGAGACTGAATTGGGCGTGCTATGGTTAGGGTGCGGTTTCCACGCTGGGACAGGATGAGCTGAGGGAGAGAGGAGATGGTGGCCCAGCGGAAACCTTCAAGCCGCGAGTATGCGGTTACTACTGGGACGCAAGCCCGTTATGGAAAAAGGCTCCAATCAAATTCGACCCCGCCAACAAAAGAGTACATCGGCGATGGTAAGGCGCAAGCAGTCGAATCGCTCTCCATGGGCGCCATGTTTCGACGCTTGAACGCAGGCGAGAGGCTTTCAGCTATAATTTATAGTTATATTGAAGCACGGGTCAGCAGCGACTATCTCCGCTTGGCAACCACGGAACGATAAATAGAGTTAATAATCAGGCTCGGCAGCGGAACGCGGCGTTGGTGAAAGCTCGATTCGCTTACGTGGCGGCTGTCAGAAGTGGTCTCGGCAACATGTTGCGCGACGCTAGCGATGACGAGGAGAGATTCACAAGAGGAAAATCGTCCACCAACGGAGCGCGCAGTGATGGAAACAACAATGGGAACGGAGTGAATCCAAGCTAAAAACACTTAGACGACCAAAGGCGCAAAGTCAGCGCTAATCGTAATGTAAGAAGCCTTATTCCTGCCTCGGACTCCGAAGCATCGACTCAAACACGAGCATGCAGGATGATTATGGCCTATGAGACTGGAGGAAACGAAGCCTTCTGCGTCAATCAACGTAGGAAGGATGACTGGCTGCTCCCTCCCTGGCCTTCGAGGCTGCCGCGGTTTGTCAAGTTCAACGCAGGCATTCCGCTCCCGCACCCGCGCAGGTGATGTCATGTTGCTGACGAGCTGTCTGGTTGGTTGGTGCTGGCGGCGGAACCCGCCCTCCTGCTACCATAGCGGAACAAAAAATCCCGCGGGAACCCCACATCAGCGCCGTTGAGGGCAAGCGCCTCGATAACCTGCTTTGGCGGGAAAATCAACGGTTGAAAACATCAAACAGAACAGTTTGTAAAGACAATTGTAAGAAATCTCAAAACCTTATGACTACACTTATAAATATCCTTCTATTGCAGTTGTGTAATTTATTTCACTAGGGCCGTGAACTCAAAGCCAACTTGGGATTTGGAGGGCTTAACGCAAAGGAGTAGGTGTGCGGTGAAAGCTTTGGCCAGGTACTCTGTATCAGACTCCAACCCTAAACCCTCATGGTGGACTACGGAAGTACAGTAATTGGTTAATCTACTCAGCCGATACAAAAAGCAACACCACTCAGTTCACTAGCACATTCACGTTAGGAAGCATGATGATCCATAAATGTAATTATCCATAATGACCCCGAGACGGAAAACGAGCGAGGTATTTGAAGTTGCAGAGGAGGTAGGTCCTGTAGGACAACACGTGCCTGCACTCATGGCAGTTGCTCATGCTATGACAGCTGCTCATGCTCTCATGCCTATTGCTCATGCACTCATAAGCGCTGGTCGTGCACTCATCTTGGAGCAAATACATGGGTAACAGCTCTAGTGGTTCGGTGGGGAAGGTGAGGGTGAAGTAAAAGCAGTTGAGGATGGTAGCATTATGCGGTGGTCATGCACTCACCCCTGCAGCGCATGCATGCACATCAGCACCAGTGGGAGAAATGGGGAAGGTGAGAGTGAAGTAGAAACAGTTGGGCAGGGAGGGCAGGGCGAGGCTGGCCATGGGATGGGCGAAGGGCATGCGGAAGGGGTTCAGGCGCACCTGCCATGGTGCAAGGCAAGGGGAGGGGAAGAATGAGGGGTATTGAGAGGGATGGGCGAAGGGCATGCGCAAGGGGTTCAGATGTACCTGCCAGGAGAGAGGGATGGGGAGGGACAATGCGAGGGATGCAGAGGAGCAGCAGAAGGAGTGGTGAAAGCAGTGAGGCGTGAGGATGGAGAGAGGAGAGAAGGGCAGGGCAGGGCGAGGCTGACCCATAATCTTGGGTCACTGTTGACCAAGTTTATTGATTCCTCCTAACAATTTCCCGACCCAGCTTATGGGTGAGGGCCAACTACTTTGGCCAAGGTCCCCACTCAATCCACCTTCCCTTCTCACAGCTGTGTACACCCCTTCCCATTTCCTTGCCATTTGCGCTTTACTCAACGGTTCTCCATCTGGTCCGTTCTCCATTTATGCCCCCCCTACCTCGCTGGTGACAGGTTGCAGTACCGCGCCCGCTGCAGCCACGCCTTCGCCGTCCCCTTGCACCGACCCTCCCTCCCTGCACCTTTCCACCCCAGCAGCCAGCGAGCAGAGCGCCTCCCGGGCTCGCTCTGCTGCCTCGTGGCTGTAGTCCGTGATTAGCGCTGGCAGTTTCTGCTGCAGCATGAGGGTCTGGTGGTAGAAGAGGGATGGGACAGCACGGAGCTGTGAGGACCGGCTGGCTGTGGTGCCTCCCTTTCTCCCTGCCACGCTCTGCTGCCTGCTGTAGTCCGTGATGAGCGCTGGCAGCCTGTGGCGCAGCAAGAGCACCTGGCGGGGAGAAGACAGGGAGCAGGGGGACAAGATGAGGCAGCACAACGTTGCGCGGGTAGGGAGAGAGCAGGAGGTACAGACACCCCTCCCTGGCTTTCTCTGCTGCCTCGTGGCTATAGACTGTGATCAGCGCTGGCAGCTTCTTCTGGTACAGCATGAGGACCTGGCGAGGGGCATGGCATGAAAGTCCATCTACACCGTCCGTCCCTGACCGCCTCGTTGCACATCAGCAGCCACCCAGCAGGACTGGCGCCTTCCTAGCCGCCCGGGCTCGCTCTGCTGCCTCATGGCTGTGGTCCGTGATCAGCGCTGGCAGCCCACCGTGTAGCATGAGGGCCTGACGAGGGACAGGCAGCGCTGCGAGGCAGCATGAGATGGCGCAGAGGACCAGATGCCCCCCCCTCCCTCTTCCCTCCTCATGCCTTGTGCCGCCTCCTTGTTCGCTGCTTGGCTGTGGGTCGTTATGAGCGCTGGCAGCCCCTTGCACAGCATGACGGTCTGGCGGGGGTACACAAGGCTCAGAGGGATGAGGCGGCACGATGATGTGAGGAGGACTGGGAGGAAAGGGGGCACATGGTGCAACCCTCTGTGCTGCCTCGTGGCTGTAGTCCGTCATGAACGCTGGCAGCCCACCGCCCAGCCCACCGCCCAGCATGAAGTTCTGACAGGGCAGGCATCACAGTGCTCTGAGGACTGGCTGAGCCTGAGGCGCCGTTGGTGCCCCCCAGGCTCGCTGTGATGCCTCGTGGCTGTAGTCCGTGCTGATTGCTGGGAACCTGTGCCTGCAGCATGAGGGCCTGAAGGGGGGGAAACAGGGAGGGCAGGGACGAGACGAGATGAGGCAGAGCACAACGATGTGAGGACTGGGAGGAAGGGGAGGGAGCGGGTGGTGCGCCTCCCTCTACTCATGCCTCGTGGCTGTAGTCCGTGACCAATGCTGGCAGGCAGCCCACTGCGCAGAATGAGGACCTGGCGGGGGGAGAAGCGGGGGGACGCGGCGGCACGATGATGTGAGGAGGACTGGGAGGAAAGGGGGCACATGGTGCAACCCTCTGTGCTGCCTCGTGGCTGTGCTTGGTGATCAGCACTGGCAGCCTGGGCTGCAGTATGAGGAGCTGGTGGGGGACAGTGGAATGAGGCAGCAGGATGGTGTGATGTCTGGGAGGAAAGGGAGGAAGTGGGTGGTGCAGCCACCAGTCAACCCATCTGCTGACACTCGATGCATTCAGGAAGCTGCATCAGCCCCTTCACCCACTTTCCACGACTACATGTGTATCCCACCCACCCAGCCCTCCCCCTTCTCCCTCTTTTCCTCTCACCAGCGTGTCTCGCCAGGAGGGGAAGGCAGGCAGGCCCGCGTTAGGGAGGAACAGCAGTGTGGGGCAGTGGCAGGACAGGTGCTGCGGATGGGTGCACCGGTGGGGATGGGAAGGCTGCTGGGACTGATCGCTATGAGGTAGGGGAGATGCGTGCTGCAAGTGGTGCAGAGAGGTGGGGGGGCACACTGCAGTAGTGGTGGGAGGGGTGGCGAGCGTAGTTGTGGGGGTAGTTGTGGTGGGAGTGGCGAGCGCAGCAGTGGGGGTGGTGAGTGGTGGACAAGCAAGGGAGGGCAGCACGTGGTGGTAGAGGCCTCGGTGGAAGTGCACTGCCACGCCTGCTGCTGCTGGTGGTGGTGCTGCTGCTGCTGCTCCTGCTGCTGCTGCTGCTCCTGCTGCTGCCCCGCCTGCTGCTGCACCGCCTGCTGCTTCCGGTGGGTGTGGCTCGGTGAATTGTGGTTCGGCAGGTTGTGGTTCGGTGGGTTGTTGTTCGGCAGGTTGTGGCTTGGCAGGTTGTGGCTCGGCAGGTTGTGGTTCGGCATGTTGTGGCTCAACAGGTTGTGGCTCGGCAAGTTGTGGTTCGGCAGGTTGTGGTTTGGCAGGTTGGGGTTCGGCAGGTTGTGGTTCGGCAGGTTGTGGTTCGGCAGGGTGTGGTTCGCAAGGCTCAAAGTCGGGAGGATGCTGTAGGACAATGCGTTTGCCATGCCTGCAGAGGGGTTGTGGTGTGGGGGCAATCGGGATGACAGAGAACGTGAGGATGAGGAGTTAAGACACAGGGATAATGCCCAAAGGAGGGAGGATGCTGTAGGACAATGCGTTTGCCATGCCCGCAGAGGGGTTGTGGTGTGAGAGCAGCGAGGAGGTGTGGTGCGGGGTCAGTGGGAATGACAGAGCATGTGAGGACGAGGAGGAGTTAAGGCAAGGGGATCGGCAGCATGTCGCACAAGCGCGCGGGGCATACAGGTGTATGGCTCAAGGAGTGAACCTACAGTGATTGGGCAGTGGATGAAGCAAGACAAGGACAGGGGATAGGTGGCACCGTGGAGGAAAGGGGCCAGGTGGCATTTGGCACAAGCGTGGGGCATACAGGTGTATGGCGCAAGGAGAGAACCTACAGTGATTGGGCAGTGGATGAAGCAAGAAAAAAACAGGGAATGGGTGGCACGTGGAGGAACAGACTGCCACACATGCACCACATGTCTCCCCTCAATGCACTTTCCTCACCGCACTCCCCCCAGGGCAATTCCCCCAAACCACTCTCCCCAGGGCAATTTCCCCAGGGCACTCCCCCCAGGGCACTCCCCCCAGGGCACTCCCCCCACACCACTCCCCCCAGGGCACTGCCAGCCGTGCTGTGAGCTCTCCCCGAGCGTCGCTACATTGAGCTCCGAAGCTGGCTGGGCCTCACATGTGTGCGGGTATGTTGGGGCCAATGAGGTGAAGACACGTGTCCACTCCAGGCAGCAGCACTCTCAGCTCCGCCAGTGCGGCCGCCTCTTGAGCTTCCTTGTCCGCCCCTGCAGATGCAGTGTGTGGTGAGAGGGAGAGGGAGTGTGTGGTGGGATGGAGAGAGGGATGGTGAGGAGCATGGTGGGAGGTATGGTGGGAGTGTGCGGTGAGAGGCACGCCAGGGTGGGGAGTGCAGTGGGTGGGTGTTGAGGGGTTACAGAGAGGGGAAAGAGGGTGGGAAGGAAGGTGGAGCTATGGCGAAGCTGTTGTGCAGGGAGCATTTCAGCCTCCAGCTTTTGGAGAATGGCAGAGAAATCGCCAGTTAATCGCCAATTACTAATCCCTTCAACCTAGAGACATCGGTTTCGTGGTGTAGTTGGTTATCACGTCAGTCTAACACACTGAAGGTCTCCGGTTCAAGTCCGGGCGAAGCCATGTTTTTACAGTTCCTTTCCGTTCGCGAATGCCACAAATGGCGTGTTGGCTTGCCTACCGGGGGTGATCACCCACCATCGCCACCTTCCCTGCAAACTCTGGCTGCTAAGCAATGCAAGTCCTCAGTGGTCTGACCTCATTCCACTCATCCCCCAAGCAGCCCCTCAGGTACTCAGGAGGCAGGGGGCATGGTAGGGTTGTGGACTGGGGGAGTCTGGAAATTTTCCTTTCACACTTTGTTGGTTGGTGTGGTGAGTGCATGGCACGTTATGCTGCTACTAGATGGCTGGGCTTGCAAATGGCACTATAATAGGTGATTATTGAGGTGTGATAATATTGAGGCCTGGCCGCCCATCTGCTTGCCTGCCAGCCAACCTGCCTGCTTGCTTGCCTGTTTGCCATGCAGGAGATGCAGTGTGGTCGTGAACTCACATGCGCCCATGTGTGAGCATGCAAGCATAGAAGTGTGACGAATTGAGGCAAGGAAACCAATAGGGAAGGACAGCTGGCACAAGTGGAGATGGGGGAGGAAGAGGGGAGATGACACAGCCAGCAGCACAAAGAGAAGGCACAGCCGGCAGCACAAAGAGAAGGCACAGCCGGCAGCACAAAGAGAAGGCACAGCCAGCAGCATGGGCTCACCCATAGATCACATGGGCTCACCCATGGATCACATGGGCTCACCCATAGATCACATGGGCTCACCCATGGATCATAAGTGGCTTAAAAACAGAGAGGGGTGATTGGCGCACCCATGAATGCCCACCAAGCACATGAATGCCCACCAAGCACATGAATGCCCACCAAGCACATGAATGCCCACCAAGCACATGAATGCCCACCAAGCACATGAATGCCCACCAAGCACATGAATGCCCACCAAGCACATGAATGCCCACCAAGCACATGAATGCCCACCAAGCACATGAATGCCCACCAAGCACATGAATGCCCACCAAGCACATGAATGCCCACCAAGCACATGAATGCCCACCAAGCACATGAATGCCCACCAAGCACATGAATGCCCACCAAGCACATGAATGCCCACCAAGCACATGAATGCCCACCAAGCACATGAATGCCCACCAAGCACATGAATGCCCACCAAGCACATGAATGCCCACCAAGCACATGAATGCCCACCAAGCACATGAATGCCCACCAAGCACATGAATGCCCACCAAGCACATGAATGCCCACCAAGCACATGAATGCCCACAAAGCACATGAATGCCCACCAAGCACATGAATGCCCACCAAGCACATGGATGCAGAGGGAGGGGCGAGTGGTCAGCCCACACCGCTGCCACTGCTGCTGCCCCTCCGCTGTTGCTCTCGGATCCGCTCCCCCTCTCTCCTCCCTCCCAGCTGCAATGCCTGAAGGCGCGTCAGCCCCTTGGGACGCGTCAGCTTCTGAAGGCGTGTGGCCCGGCACTTGAGTGGTGGCAGGGATGGTTGGAGGCGGTGGGAAGGGCTCGAGGAGCAGGTGGAGCGCGAGGAGGATGGTGAGCGGCTGGTGGTGGGGGAAGTGGGTGAACGTCGGTAATGAGGGTGGGGAGTACAGTGGGGTGGGAGCGTGGTGGGTATCACTCGTGATCATTCATTCATGGGGATCATGAATGAATGCCTCATTGTTCGACTTTTGATTCGACTCAAACATCACTTCGCTGTTGAACACAAGGGACAGAAGAAACTATCTCCGTTGGGAAAATTGGTTTCCTACGGGGAAAAAAAAAGAAGGAAAACTATTTCCTTTGAAAAAGACAAGGTTCCAAAATTCATACCCTTACCGTACCTCATAGCCATACCTCACCTCACACCCATACCTCACGCCCATATCCACGCCCGTACCTCACGCCCATACCGTGTGCAGCAGCAGGGCAGCGGGCGAGTGGAGAGGAAGGCCCCTCCAGAGGTGGTAGCGGCGCCAGGAGAGAGGTGAGAAGGGGAGAGGCGGGAGGGAGGGGGACAGTGTGTGGGGATGCCCGTACCTCATGCCCGTACCTCATGCCCGTACCTCATGCCCGTACCTCATGCCCGTACCTCATGCCCGTACCTCATGCCCGTACCTCATGCCCATACCTCATGCCCGTACCTCATGCCCATACCTCATGCCCATTCCTCATGCCCATCCCTTATCCCCATGCCTCTAGCCCAATCCTCACGCCCATACCGTGTGCAGCAGCAGCGCAACGGGCGAGTGGAGAGGAAGGCCCCTCCAGAGGTAGTAGTGGCGCCAGGAGAGAGGTGAGAAGGGGGAAGGCAGGAGGGAGGGGGGCAGTGTGGGGTGAAAGCGCGGAAGATGAGAGGGCGTGGGTGGGGAGGCAACACAAGAGGCGGAGGCTGCTGATGAGCTGCTGAGCGAGAGTGGAGCGGACTGGCCCTCCTCAAGGTCAGGAAGCTGCGAGCAGCCTGCCAGGGCAGTGTGGAAAAAGAGAGGATCTTAGTGGAAATTAGTGTTTGCTTTGTACATTTGTGTGAGAGCTGGATGAGAAAGAATATTGAGGGGGAACCTGGAGAGGAGCGATTCTGGTCAGCTGCTGAGGAGTGGGGTGCTGGGGACAAGAGGGCTCACAACCCACACCGGAAAGGTAATGAAGAGGAAGAGCGGAAAAGCAGAAAAGAAGCGATGTGATGACAACAGTTGGAAAAAGGTGGAGAACGAGAGAATGGGAGAGTGGCTGGGGGGTGTGAAAGGGTGGGAGAAGGTGGGAGAGGGTGGGAGAGTGGGGAAGGTTAAGAAAGTGAGAGAGGGTGGAGAAGGTAAAACGTGGGAAGGAAGAAGTGGATGCTCACGGACCGCAGAGGGCAGCGTGTTTTGAGACGTCTCAAAACAAGGAAGAAGTGGATGCTCACGGACCGCAGAGGGCAGCGTGTTTTGAGACGTCTCAAAACAAGGAAGAAGTGGATGCTCACGGACCGCAGAGGGCAGCGTGTTTTGAGACGTCTCAAAACAAGGAAGAAGTGGATGCTCACGGACCGCAGAGGGCAGCGTGTTTTGAGACGTCTCAAAACAAGGAAGAAGTGGATGCTCACGGACCGCAGAGGGCAGCGTGTTTTGAGACGTCTCAAAACAAGGAAGAAGTGGATGCTCACGGACCGCAGAGGGCAGCGTGTTTTGAGACGTCTCAAAACAAGGAAGAAGTGGATGCTCACGGACCGCAGAGGGCAGCGTGTTTTGAGACGTCTCAAAACAAGGAAGAAGTGGATGCTCACGGACCGCAGAGGGCAGCGTGTTTTGAGACGTCTCAAAACAAGGAAGAAGTGGATGCTCACGGACCGCAGAGGGCAGCGTAGGGACCGCGGGCATGCAGGTGGAGGGACGAGAGGAAGGAGCACATGGTGTGACGGCCCTGCTCCACCTGCACACCCCATTGCAGCCCACAGGCAGTGGGCGGCGGGTGGAGAGAGCAGGAGAGTGGGAGAGGGAAGGATCATGCAAATGAGATGGCAGGAGGTGAGGAAGGAGCACATGGTGTGACGGCCCTGCTCCACCTGGAGCCCGCATCGCACATGAGATGACAGGCACCCCCCATGCAGCGCATGAGAGGCACATGAGAGGCACATGAGAGGTATATGAGAAGTACATGAGAGGCACATGAGAGGCACGTGAGAGGCACGTGAGAGGTATATGAGAGGTATATGAGAGGCACAGGCAATGCCATTTGGGAAGAGAACGAGGTGAGGGAGACGAGGCGAGTAAGCAAAGAGGGGCGTTGTGGTCATCGCAATGTGAAAAGTGGAGGATGAATGAACAGCGTGACATGGAGATGATGATGATGGGAGCACAGCACAGCACAGCACAGCACCGCACCGCACAGCACAGCACAGCACCTGCACAGCACAGCACCTGCACAGCACTGCACAGCACAGCACAGCACCTGCACAGCACTGCACTGCACTGCACAGCACCTGCACAGCACAGCACTGCACTGCACAGCACTGCACTGCACAGCACTGCACTGCACTGCACCTGGATGATGGAGAGGTGCAGGAAGGGCAGGTCCAGCACAGAAGCACCGCACTTCACCGCACATCACAGCACAAGGCAGCACCCCACCGCACCTGGATGACGGACTGGTGCAGGAAGGGGAAGGGCAGGTCCAGCACAGCAGCACCGCACGCACAGCAACACAGTACATCACAGCACTGCACCGCTCTGCACCTGGATAACAGACTGGTGCAGGAAGGGGAAGGGCAGGTTCAGCACATCCGGTGCTCCCTGCAGCTGCAGCGCCAGGCGAGCGCACTCCCCCCCTTGCTCGTGCTGCCGCCAATGGTTAGCCTGACGGGATGCATGGGGCGTGGTGGGACGGGAGGGGGGGGAGGTGCATAGGGGATGGGGCATGCAGGAAGGGGATGGGGCATGCAGGAAGGGATGGGGCATGCAGGAAGGGATGGGGCATGCAGGAAGGGGTAGGGCAGGTCGAGCACAGCCGGTGCTCCCTGCAGCATGGAGATGGGGCACATGGAGCATGGGGGATGGGGCATGGGGCGGGGGGGATGGGGCGGGGGGGATGGGGAATGGGGCAACAGGATTGAGGCATGGGGGATGGGGCAAAGGAGGAACGTTTAAGAAAAAGGGAGAAAGAAGCGGGGCAGAGAAGAGGGACAGGGGACAGGGGGCGGGGTGGAGAGCGGGGGAAGGGGGGGAGGACAGGAGCAAGGGGAAGGGGCGCGCATGGCCGTGAAGGACCAAGGGCTGGGGGGCGAACGGGCGAATGGGGGGTCCTCGGGCGCTGGTTGCGCGCAGCTGCGCGCGTGAGCTGCGCGCAAACCATCTCGCGCTGCGCCAGCGGGCCCTCACCGCTCGTTGCTCCTTCGCTTCATCTCCCCCCTACAGAGCGCACCTGGTGCTAAGCGCGCACCTGGTGCTATGGCGCGCACCTGGTGTCGCCTGCTACAGTAAATGACGACGCCGCACTCGCCGCAACGAATACGGCCGTCGCACGGCGACGCGCACACGTGGCACTGCCACGTCATCGGCAGCGGAACTCAGAGTAGCGACAGCGCAGCATAAAAGCGGTCGCAGCGCATGCCGGCAGCATTGAGAATTCTAGTATACGAACTGGAGAACGCAATTCGTTTGCCCGTCGCCGTGACTGCCGCAACAACTAGGCGAAAATTCGGTGAAATTTTTGCCCCGATGTTCCGAACCCAAGTCTCTCCCACGTTTCATCCGTGTGCGTTACTCGTGTCTCGCTGCTGAGGGTACGATGCGAATTGCGTTACGTCGCTTGAGTGCGTATTTCAGACGCCGCTCAATATTCGCACACCTGGTCGTATGCCATGCAAACGGGGTTCAGGGTTGAGACAAGCGATTTCATTAGGTCGCGTGCGTTCCGTCAAATTTGACAAAGTTCATGTTTTGGGGGCGAATATTTTTTTGGGTTGCGTAGCAACCTTATACATTCGTTTTCACTTTTCGGTTGGCTGACGTGAACAGTGAATTTCTCCCATCAATTATGAAAGAAATCACTATTCACTGTAACTTCCCCGAAAAAATGAAAACAAATGTTTCCAACCATTCCATAATCGTCGATAAGTACGGCGAATGGAACAATTGGACAATCGTTCTAGCACTAATGACGATACCAAATGGCCCACGAACACAAAAACAACACAGAAAATCTGTACAACGGTACCACCTAAAGACACACACATACACAAATGAGTACAAAATCGATGGTGTACAAGAACCGTCGTACATGTTCTGAGGGGAATACAAAATGCATCAATGCAGCAACTGAGATTGATATGGTACGGAAGAGGCAAGCAAAGCTGCCCCACCGACGATCACAATCCCAGTTGCGTACACGAGGCATTTAGCACCACACCCCCGAAACAAGCACAGACGATAACACACAAACCGTCACAAAAACAGAGGACAACGATTGAGAATGTTTCAAAGCGAATACTAAATGCATCAATGCTGCAACTAAGATTGATATGGTATGGAAAAGGCTAGCAAAGCTGCCCCACCGACGATCACAATCCGAGTTGCATTCACGAGGCACTTAGCACCACACCTCGAAACAAACACCACACACATATGCACATGTACGTACTCACACACATACACACACACAACGCAAAAAGCATACAGCTATGGTAATAAGCATGCAAGCGTAATGAATGAAGTTCAGCCTTGTGTAAATCATCACTAGCTTGTGCCCCATTCCCCTCCCTCCCTCCCTCCCTCCCTCCCTCCCTCCCTCCCTCCCTCCCTCATTTCCCTCATCTCCCTTCTCCCCATCCCTTTTCTCCGCAAGAAAAGAAGACTGGAGCTTGAACTCCCTGCACAGGAAAGAAGAAACAGCGAATGCAACTCACTCTCTGCACAAACAAAAACAAAATCAAAGAATACAACTTGCATGAGTTGCACAAAGAAACAAAATCAGAGAATGCAGATTCCATGACGCACAAGAAACAAATGGTTCGATACACTAAAAAACAACGTAAGCGGAACAGAAATTGAAGCTGAAGAATGCAATATACAAACGAAAGATGAGTGATGGAAACATTTACATTTGGCATCTTACAAATGTGACTTGATAGTAAACATTATGTCAGAATGCATGCAAAACCTTGCGGCCACCCTTGCATTCACCTCAACATTCACCCTTACGATCATCCTCACACATGCGCGCACTCACGCTTGGAATCATACTTGCACTCGCCTTCGCATTCACCATTGCAATCACACCCGCACCATCGCGTTCAACCTCTAAACCCACACACACACCCGTAGCACTCAGGCACGCATTCTCCCTCGCACTCACCCTCACATTCGCCCTCACTCTCATATCCACACTCACGCTCGCATTCGCCCTCGCACTCACACCAGCACTCTCGCGCTCACTCTCGCGCGCGCTCTCACGCCTCTCTCGCACGCTCCCTCATGCGCAAACTCACGCGCCCTCACGTGCTCGCTCGCGCGCTCCCTCGCGCGCTCCCTTGCGTGAACTCTCGCGCACTCTCCCGCGCGCTCCCTCACGCACTCTTTCGCTCGCACTCTCGAGCGCACTCTCACGCGCTCTCTCTCGCGCACTCTCCGGCGGCGCTCCATCACGCGCTCTCTCACGCGCGCTCTCACGCGCTCCCTCACGCGTGCTCTCACGCGCTCTCTCCCGCGCTCCCTTGCGCGCACTCTCGCACGCACTCTCGCGCGCGCTCTCTCGCGCGCTCTCCCACACGCACTCTCACGCACACTCACGCGCTCTCTCACGCGCACTCTCATGTGCTCTCTCACGCGCACTCTCTCACCCTATCCCACGCGCCATATCACACGCTCTCTCACGCGCTCTCACACGCTCTTTCACGCACTCTCTCACGCGCTCTCACACGCTCTCTCACGCTCACTCTCACGCGCACTCTCCTGTGCGTGCGCTCCCGTGCACTCGCTCTTCCTCGCGCTCCGCGTCTCTCCCTTTCTTCACGAAGAGAGCTACGGAAGAGGAGACCAATCGGCACACGAAAAAAAAAACGACGAGAGTAAAAAAAGAAGAAATTTCAGAGGGGGAAGGGAGAATGAAAGGACCGGGAACGCACCTGAAAACCACGGTAACTCATGAAACAATCCGCGCTCGCACACCAACGCGCTCGCGCACCAATGCGCTCGCGCACCAACTCGCGCTGGCGCTCGTGCACCTGTCGCCGGAGGCGACGGCGGGGAGGAGGGTGGCGCGACGGCGGGGAGGAGGGTGAGGCGACGGCGGGGAGGAGGGGGAGGCGACGGCGGGGAGGAGGAGGAGGCGACGGTGGGGAGGAGGGTGAGGCGACGGCGGGGAGGAGGGTGACGCGACGGCGGGGAGGAGGGTGACGCGACGGCAAGGAGGAGGGTGAGGCGACGGCGGGGAGGAGGGGGAGGCGACGGCGGGGAGGAGGAGGAGGCGACGGCGGGGAGGAGGGGGAGGCGACGGCGGGGAGGAGGGGGAGGCGACGGCGGGGAGGAGGGGGAGGCGACGGCGGGGAGGAGGGTGAGGTGACGGCGGGGAGGAGGGGGAGGCGACGGCGTGGAGGAGGGTGAGGCGACGGCGGGGAGGAGGGGGAGGCGACGGCAGGGAGGAGGGGGAGGCGACGACGGGGGGAGGAGAGGCGACGGCGGGAAGGAGGGGAGGCGATGGCGGGGAGGAGGGGAGGCGACGACGGCGGGAAGGAGGAGAGGCGACGGCGGGGAGGAGGAGAGGCGTCGGCGGGAAGGGGTTGCGTAGGGTTGTATCCACTGCGTTTACTAAGTTCTTCCCACGGAGTAGCTAGCCGTGGTGGTGACCAAGCCGTGGCGTCAGCACATCAGTGCAGCAGCACACCCTAACAAGCAGGAGGCAGCAAGGGACACAGCAAGAAAGGCACCCAACCTCAACCAACTGCAAGTGCCACGCCACGTACAGCATGGGCGCTTGCCATGGTACCCTCACAACACAACACTGGTGGGCGCTGGCCATGCCTACTGTACGTTCTCATAGCAATTGATTGCAACTTTCCTAGGGTCTCACAAGTTTAAGTGGAACATCATTAACACCTGCCGTCTTGCCTGCTATATTCCACTCCATGTTGCACAATGGTAGCACACACTGCGTTGTTGGGCTGAGATAGCCCCTTAGGATCTTTTCAAGGGAGAACTCTGGGTAGGATAGTGTTGTAATAGCGGAAGCTTTAATGAAGAATTATGAACCACCTTGCGCTGGTATGTGAGGGCAAAGTAGATTGATTATAGCAAGGAAGTACAAGATTATATAGTAATACAGGGAATATGAAAGGATGCAGTTTGTAACTACTTTACTGTTGCTGTTGCGGTTCGATACAGTACGACTCGGGCAACTGCTCTGTAACGAGTCAGTTGTGTGTCCTTAACTGTCGCGCTGTATTTGTCAGGTCAAAGGTCGCTTGACCTTTGACTTTCGCGTAACCTCCAGCAACCTCCGAAGGTTGACTCGCGTTTGTTTCGATACTGCTTGCTTCGCTTCTGGTGCGATGTTTCGACACGACTGAAGCGCTTAAGATTCACTGTTTCCAACACTCCCCTTCTCTTGTGGAGTGTCGCTGCTGATGACGTGGCTCTGTCCAGTCAGCAGCATGCAGTACTCGAACTTCTGCTTTCCGAGCTTCTTGGTCAAATAGTCAGCTGCCATCTCGGACGTGGGGCAGTAGGATAGCTCGAGTCTCCCCTTCTCGATCTCGTCCTTCACGAAGAAGTAGCGTAGGGCGATGTGTTTCGTCCTGTTCGCGAAGCCGTTCTTGTTGGCGATGCGAATTGCTGACTGATTGTTTCTTCCAGCAGCTCGCGAAGATAAAGTCCCTCCTTGGTGGCTGAGCAGAGTGCAATGTATTCTGCTTCAGCTGAAGATAGCGCGATTAACTCCTGCTTGCTCGATTGCCAGGAGATAGGACCGATAGGTTCGAGGCGGTAGACGTAGCCGGTGCGTGAGCGCCTGTTGTCGGAGTCGCCGGCGTGATCGGCATCGACGTAGCCGATTAGCTTGGTTGGTGTAGTTGCGTTCTTGTGGTAGGTTAGGCCGATCGTCGGGGTGCTGATGAAGTAGTGAAGAGCGCGGTCGAGCTCCGCCAGGTGCTCTGTTTCGGGCTTCTTGAGGTAGGTAGCGAGCTGGCTTGCGGAGTATGAGAGGTCGGGACGGCAGGTAACAGCTGCGAAGAGGAGGCATCCTAGCTTCCTCTGATAGTCGCGTACGCCGGCGGGTTTGAGTAAGGTGGATTTTCCCTTGTCGGCTCCTGTCGTGTAGCGGTATGGTGTTGAGATCGCGGCCGGCGTGAGACCGAAGCGTTTGGCGATAGTGTCGGCGTACTTTTCGGTGCTGAGGTAGATCGCATCTTCTTCTTCTCGGATGTTGAGGCCGAGGTACTGAGTGACGGTAGGCGAGACCGTGAGTGTGAGGTCTTGCTGCAGCTCCCCTTCGAACCAGGTAGTGATGCCGTCATTTGACCCGATGTAGAGGAGATCGTCCACGTAGACGATTAGTAGGACGTAGTCGTCGTTCTTCGTGAGGCGGTATATTCCTTGATCGTGCGGGAGTTGTTTGAAGCCGATGCGGATGAGGCGAGCGTGCAGGTACTGTTGCCATAGTCGCGGGGCCTGTTTGATCCCGTAGAGCGACTTGAGCAGCTGGCAGACATGTGTGGAGTCTGTGTTGGAGCCGTGTGGCAGCTCCACGAAGATCTCTGCATCAACAGGTGCGTAGAGAAAAGCATTTGCGACGTCGATTTGTCGCAACTTCTTCTTCTTCATGGCGGCGATCGCGAGGAGAATTCGCAGTGAAGTGTGGCGGCTGACCGGAGCGAAGGTTTCGGTGAAGTCACGTCCGTGCTCCTGGTCGAAGCCGCGTACGACCCAGCGTGCTTTGAACTTGTCGATGGTGCCGTCTGCTTTCGTCTTCACACGGAAGACCCATTTTCCGGTAAGTATGGTCTTGTTTCGTGCTACGCCGATAGGAACGACCTTCCAGGTGTTGCGTTCTTCTAACGCCTTCAGTTCCCTGTCCATGGCTTCGCGCCATTTTTCCCTGTGCTCCCCCCCCAGAGCCTGTTGAACCGTCGCAGGCTCCTTAGGAATGTCGGCGCCGTGGACTGCGGTGACGAGGCCAAGGATTTGGAGTCCACTCTGTGTGTAGCGGGGGAGTGTGGTGTCCTCGGGATAGACTGCTTCGTCTCCAGCTTCTGGATCAGGTGCGAAGTTGGGTCCTACGCGTTCTGCTTCGTTGGTGTTGACTTCAGCAGGTGTAACGTAACCGTCGTCGGCGAAACGGTAGTAAACTTCGGCGTTGATGCTTTCGCGTGGGTCTTCGTCGTCCATTGGTACGTCCACTGGGCAGTAGGGAAGAGGTCCGGCTTCTTCCGAGGCTCGGTCCACGTTCTGCTCGTCCCAGTCAGCTTCGTCTTCTGCCGAGGCGAAGGCTCGGGTGCCAGTGAATCCGCCCGTGAGGTCAGGTCTGTTGGCTCTGACGTACGCGAGATGAACGTCGAGGGTGAGGTGTTCGTAGAAGATTACATCACGTGCTGCGACTGTTTCCTTGCTGTTGATGTCGAAGATTTTCCATGCGTTGTAATGTTTTTCGATGCCCAGGTGTACTCCCCACTGTGCTCGTTGGGAGAATCGACCGGCGCGTGCAGATGGTGGTCGGTACTGTACCATGCACCCGAAAACTCGTAACATTTTTGTGCTGCCCAATTTTCCTGTCCACAGCAGGTGCGGTGATGCGTTGTTCGGGAGCGATGATGACGAGAGCAAGTTGTGCAGCATGACGGCGTGGTCCATTGCTTCGGGCCACTGGTGGTTGGGCAGATGCATGCCACGCAGCAGCTTGCGCATGGTGGCTTGAAGTGTCCTGTTCATCCTTTCTGCTACACCTTGCTGTTGATGGGCGTAGGGAAGGGAGATGAGTCTCTTGATTCCTCTTTCTGCCAAGTAGTCCTTGAACCTCTGTGAGGTGTATTCTCCTCCCCCGTCTGACTGAAAGCTTTTCAGTTTTACGCCCGATTCTCTTTCTGCTGCAGGAAGCCACGCGACGAACGCTTCGAAGGCCATGTCGCGGCTGGGTAGGTTGAGGTGCCAGACGTATCTGGTCGCGGCGTCGATGAAGGTAATCGTGTAGTTGTAGGTGTTTTGTCCAGGTTCGCGGTGTCAAACATTATATATGTTGTGTTTGTTTAGGCTACAGTGGGTTAGCCTATAGGGGGTACACAATTCTAGGGTTAGGTACTTGTACTGATTTCACTGTTAGTTCAATCATTCCAGTCCGTTCATTCTGACACGCGGTTGTACAGGATGTCGCTGTACACCTTCTCGAGCGGAGCGTAAGCTGGGGCGCTTCGATTGTGGTGAGATGGAAACGGCTGTCGTGTTAAGTCTGCTTCAGGGCAGGTGAAGCATGTTCCTCGAGCTCGCTGAAGTTCTCTGCCGTCGGTCAGTAGGAGTGAGTCCTTGTCAAGAACTCCTGCTCTTATTGTGTTGTTTAACACCGTGTGACTCGGATGTCCCATCCTTGCGTGCCAGGTTCCTTCAGTGGCGCGGTGTCCTTGGGAGCGTCGGTCATCTCTAAAAAGGTCTCACCCCAACCTGACCCAAAATTGACTTCGAGGTCACCTTTGGGTCACGCGCCCAGGTTCAGCTGGGGTCCCAGGGTCCGTCAAGTTTGGGTCACCCGAACTACACCCCAACCTCACCTCGCGGTTAACCCAAAGATGACGCGCAGGTCAACACTGTTCATCCGAATCGCCCACCACAATGGAGAGTTCCGTTACAGGTTATAATGAATTCGATACTGTACTTGATACACTATTAAGTAATTTGAATTCGTTTTTTTTATATTTGAAATACAACAGTATAGCAATCACATAGTAAAGATTATAAAATGCAATATATCAAGGCGTATTATACAAGCAAATGCAGGAAATCAACATCTGTACATTGGTGACATAATACGCATATCTACGCACTACATAGCGACGAGGCATGGTAAGTAACAAAACACTAAAGGTAGATCTTGCACCGCGGTTCACCACCTGCCACACACCAGCAGCAGACAGAGAGTCTATTTCCCCCAAACGCAATAAATGCAGCTAAAAAAAAACAGTAACATGTAAACGACAGTACATACCAAAGTGCTGCACTAACTGTTGACCAGATAAGCATAGCGCGTCCTGCACACAAGTCAGAATACATTTGACAATGGTCTTCTGTTGGATGGAGGCGCCATGTAACAACAGACAACATACCGCCACATGCACTAATGTTGGGTTAAGGAACGAGAAAGCAAAGAAGACGCTTTCTTACCTAGTCGATAGTTACCCACGGCTGCTAGTACCTTCGATTGGAGCCGATGATGCTCTACGTGAAACTTTCGTCGCTCCCCAGGAACGCCATCACCGCCACCCGCCCAACCACCCCCGCGCCGACTCTCCTTGCCACCACCATTCGCCTCCCTTCCCACCGGCGCTCGATCAGGAGGCGGCAGCTCTGACGCCGGCGCGACGGTGGATGCGGTGGGGCCTGCGCTGGAGGAACCTGCGAAAGCGATAGGCAAGGAGTTGGGAAGAAAAGCTTTAAATTTTATAATTTATAAGAATAATGTGGGCGAAGTTGTGCGTCATATCAGCTGCACGACAGCACTAACGCATGGTAATTCATCTGAACCCGACAAAGCACGACACGATCGAGCACTAATGATGGGGTAAGAAAACAAATCTGAAGTGCTGTGTGCGTACGCAATCAGACACAGGAGTCGAGCATCTGTAAACAAATGAAAATTGACGCAGAGGCAGAGCAGACCTAAATTTGTGTCTAGCGGCTGGATCGTGGTATTAGACAGTTCGGAAGAGTTTAGCAACGGTACTAGGGTTGGGCGAGGTGTTTTGAAAGGGTTGGAGAAGATATTGGATCAGTTAAATTGTGTGGTTCTCTTTTGCTTTGTGCAGCCGATCTTCGTATGGCAGGTGTGGAGCTTTCGGCG